AAGAGAGAGAATATACAATCAACGGTTGGGGAATGGTAAAACAATATTAAAAAGGACCTAATTTACGTTGGTGAATGTAACTAATTGGTTTTGGGTTTAAATTCACTTCCTCCTTATGGTCTGTTTGTTCCTTATTGCATATGCAGCGTAGAGATGGGTTAAATAAATCTCAGATTTCTGATATTGGTATATATATCCGCATATGAATCTTTTAGTTAATTTTAGTGAGTTAAAAGAGAATCATTTATTGTAATTTGTATGATTTAGTCACGCATAATCTTTATAGTTTAATTCAGACTTTTTTATAATGATAAATAATTATTATTTATTACTAGTATATTATGTTTAAAGAATAGTAAATTTTGTAATACATTAAGTGATGTATTTATTACCGCTTAATGATTAAAGTATTTTGATCGTTCCGTGAGAGATTGCGAGTCAGTCCAATTAACTTCTGCTTGCTTTTAAATGCCGCTAATGGCTCATGGGATCATAAATCCATGTGATATTGGAAATTTTTGCTCCAATTCATATGAGAGGGGGTTATTTTGCATGGACTCGAATGAAGAGTAAAAACATAATGACACTGGTCCAACAGTTCAGGCCCTAAGAGCTGGACGCCGCTGGAATAGAGAAAAAGAAGTCAAGTAAAATTTTTTTTTTTTTTTCATCAAGTTAGCATCTGTGAAAAAGACGATTGTTGGGCTTTGCTTATGGTTTGTCACAGAGCCCCGCAAGAACACAACTAAAAATAAAGCCCAAAAGACAAGAACGCGCCAGAGTCACCGCGTTATATAAGGTCGGATCCAGTTCGAGTTCTCCTTGCGCGTAAGCCCCTGTTTCACTCGCTCTGTGGGACTAACAAAATTCTTTCTTCCTGTTAATTTTCGCCATTTTTGTTTTTTTTTTTTTTTTTTTTTTATTTCCTCCTTCCTTTTTTTTTTTTTTTTTTTTTATTTCTCCTTCCTTTCTTTTAGTTGCTCCAAAGCATTTCATTCCCAGCAGAGCCTAGGGTTAGGGGGTGTGGATTCAAGCTTTCCTTTAATCCAAGATTCAGCTTTTCCCACCTGTGTCAAATGCCGCCATTTCTTTACTCTCTGTATAGAACACAGACACGCTTCTCTTTTTAATCAATTCCTCTTCTCCAAAATTTCAGATCATAAGAAATCTTCATTTTACAAAAGATTTTAGGTTATTATATTTCTTTTTGACAAAAAGAAAAAAGAAAATCTGATGGATAAGAAAAGGGTGGCGGTTCCACTTGTGTGCCATGGTCATTCTCGCCCAGTCGTCGATCTGTTTTACAGTCCAATCACTCCTGATGGTTTCTTCCTCATAAGTGCTAGCAAGGGTACGTTTTCATTTTTGTTTTTTGGTTTTAAATTATAGACAGATTCAGTCATAGGCTCCGATTTGTTATAAATTGGTTACATTCTAATGGTTTATGAATTTGCTTGTGAAGCATTTAATAAAGCCCAATTTAGAATATTTTTTACTTTTTTAATTTACTCACTGACGGCTAATCTTGTTTTGGAGTTCGTGTCTGCCCTCCTCATTATTGATTTTGCAGGGACAAAGTCCAATTTAGAATCTTAATTAATGTTAGAGTTGATTACAACTATTCATTTTGAATTTTTTCCATTTCGGTCAACCATGAGATTTCGATGATAATGGGTGGATCATTTTAGTGATGTTGTAAATTGTTTGTTTAGTTGTTGAATTATGGAGTTTTACTCTTCTGGGTTCAGATTCTAGTCCAATGCTTAGAAATGGAGAGACCGGAGATTGGATTGGAACTTTTGAAGGACATAAGGGTGCGGTGTGGAGTTGCTGCTTGGATACTAATGCTTTACGTGCTGCTTCTGGTTCTGCTGACTTTACTGCGTATGTAGTTACATTTTTTTGTGTTTTTCTATTGCTTTCTTTCTTGCTATCAAAGTTTTAAATTTTGTGCACCTCTTGGTGAATGTCATGTCCTTTTTTTATCTATGTTTGAGTCCTTCTCATTGTAGATATAACCATCTTATGAATGTGTGCGAACTGAGAAAACCTAAAGAGACATGTAACATTGTATGTTTTTGACAGCCCGAGATTTTCTTCATCGTTTTTTTAAATTTCTTTTAATGTGCCTTTTCAAGGTTTACCGTTTTGTTATGACTCTTGTTGGATGTTGCATTTATTTAAGCTTTCTTCATACCCAAGTCTTCTTGTTCATATGGATTTTTCCATAGTAGTGTCTGTTCATGGCTTTTATGGGTGCACTGCTAAATTTTGAGTGACATCTTATGTGAGTACTTGTGCATTATGTTTTGAAGGTCAAAGTTGCTGCCTGCCAACATGATGCTTTTGTTTGTTTCTTTTGCATTTACAGTTATAAAGTGATATTGAATTCAAGTCCCATCCATTGAGCTGTTCTACAGTTGCTTTTAATTGTTATAGAATTGTAGATCACATAACATTGATTATTGCATATGATCACTTATTCTCTCTTGCAAACAGAAAAAGACAAAAGGGAGCATGCATTCTTTTTCCTTTTCTTTTTTTTTTTTTTTTACATTTATTTGTCTCTTGTACGGGTGCTTCCAGATGAATTTTCATTTTGATTATTTTGGTGAATGAACTTCATGTTTTGAGCCTGGGAAAATCAATTAGCTTCTGCCTGGTTGTTCAAAATCCGTCTCATACAAGTCATTCTTCTGTTACTAGAGGCTAAGCATTTTTTTTTTCCTTGCCAAACAATATCATAATCTAGGGAGCTTGAGGATGTTAGCATGTGATTTTTTTTATATTTATATAGTTATTAAAAGATGATAACTGCATGCTATATCTATGTCATGTGGAAGTTGGGTTTGTTTTGTATAAGATAAAATGCAAAGTTTCATCGGGGGTGCATAAGGTTTTATAAATTTACATAGTAAATAGTCATTATAGTTATAAAGTTTCAGTTAGTTGTTAATTTAACATGTACAACAATGTTATATACAGGAAAGTCTGGGATGCATTAACAGGGGATGAACTGCATTCATTTGAACACAAGCACATTGTGCGAGCTTCTGCATTCTCAGAGGTAAAGTCAGCATTTGTTTCTTCTTTTCAATTTTCAGTGGGCAAAGGATGGTTCTTTTCTGTTATCATAATGCATACTATCACACTTAAAGATGTGAGCACGTTTACATGATTAAAGTCAGTGGCATTGACCTACTTTGAGAACTTTGAAGCTTCTTGTTCTTTATGTTTGACAAAATGTTAAACAAAGTAATTAAGTGGACAAGAGTAACTAAACTTTGATGAAAGCATTTTTCCAGAGCAATCGATCTGCTTTTTCTACCCTGAAACATATTGTTTTCGTGTTCCCTAGTATCTTAAGCTGGAAGATTTAGTTTGGAGGGTGACTTGTAAGGTAATTTTAATGCTCAAGTGACATGATATCGACGATGTTTGTTTGAGCCTTTGATGTCCTTTATAAATAGTATTTATTATAAAACCTATGTCTTTGTGTTACTGTAATTCTTGGAATCATATGTCACGGAAGTGGATGAGTGGATCTGTGCTTTTCTTGTTCACTACGTTTCTACGTCAATCTCTCTCAATATTTTCCCAATCTGGCCTCAGGATACTCATCTTCTGCTCACTGGAGGAGTAGAAAAAGTCCTTCGCATTTTTGATTTGAATCGTCCAGATGCTCCTCCAAGAGAAGTTGATAAGTCTCCTGGCTCAATCAGAACTGTTGCATGGCTTCACAGTGATCAGACAATACTGAGTTCTTGCTCTGATATGGGGGGTGTGAGGTTAGCTTCTTTAATCATGTATAAAGCTAGCTACAGTAATAGTAATATGCACTTGTGTCGTTTTTTGAGAATATATGCACTTGTGTGTTGATAAACTTTGTGTTTGTAACCTGTCATGAAAGAGAAAAATCCATCTTTCTTGTGTTTCTTTTCACTGTGTGAGTATGTTTATTTTTCTCTTTTGGTTGTGCTGTTGGGGAGTGCGTTGGGGTTGGAGGAGATAATTGAGTAACTCTTTTGTGGGATCCAGCATTCGAGGGTTTATGGTTATTGCTTGTTAGTTTGTGGGATCAAGGGCCATATGAAAAGGACTGGCTGGCTAGGAGGATTAGGTCATTTAGAGCAGATGATCCAATTGTTTTTGGTTCTAGAAATGAATCCCAGTTGTGAGCTTTTTTTTTTCTGTAAAAACATGTATTTTTTTTTTTTAAGATTTAAACTTTTGTGTGGAATTTAGTTCAATGACTGTTTTGAGGTTAACTAGTTTCTCTAATTTTTGCTGATATAACTGATTATCATTCAGACTCTGGGATGTTAGAAGCGGCAAGATAGTGCAAACGCTTGAGACTAAATCATCTGTGACCAGTGCTGAAGTGAGTCAAGACGGTCGATATATAACAACTTGTGATGGTTCTACTGTAAAGTTTTGGGATGCAAACCAGTAAGTTCCAAGCTCACTTTGTTCGTTTCTTGTAACAAAAGTTTCTGTGGTTAACTGATATCATATTTTGACACCTTTTCCCCCTTAGTTTTGGGTTGGTGAAGAGCTACAACATGCCTTGCACTGTAGAATCAGCTTCTTTGGAACCCAAGTATGGGAACAAGTTCATTGCTGGAGGAGAAGATATGTGGATTCATGTGTATGATTTTCATACTGGCAATGAGATAGGTATATGCTCCCACAATTTATTGAATAAAATAAACAAGAAAAGGCTGCATGGGTATGATGATCTTGAAGCTATTTTTTGGTTCTCTCTTCCTTGTATGGGGTATTGCGATGGATCCGTTACATTTAGTAATCTATGTTTGTGTTTTCAGGGATTTTTTTTTTTTCTGCTCCATTTTAGAGTAGTTAAATGTTCTATATGGTCCTGAAAATATTCCTTCATCCTTGTTTTGGATTATGGCAAGTGACTTTGTCAATTTTGATTTGGCAGCGTGCAATAAGGGTCACCATGGTCCTGTACACTGTGTGCGCTTCTCGCCAGGAGGGGAATCATATGCCTCAGGTTCTGAGGATGGAACCATAAGGATATGGCAGACAGGCCCTTTGACTCATGATGACAGGGAGGGGCTCACAGCAAATGGATTAGTTGAAAAGGTGAAGGTAACTGCAGATGAAGTTTCACGAAAAATTGAGGGCTTCCACATTTCAGACGATGGGAAGGCCAATGACAAGGAAGAAGCCGGAACAGATTGATGAACAAAAAAAGATTTCTTCTTTTCTTGTTTTTTTGGGTTGTGGGATAGGTTGGTATTGCAAGAGGCCGAGGTATAGGATTAGCCTCATATATAGGATTTAAGACCACCTAATTCTTGTACAAGCTTTAGCCAGTAATGCATTAAATAGATAGAACGGACCTATACATGTTTTGCAGCCTACCTACCTTCATAATCGATCCCTCAAAACTTCTTAAAGTCTTTACTATCTGCATTGTGGTTGATGGTGAATCTGTGTACATGTTTTGACTCCCAAGTTTATTTTTCTTCTGTGAGCTATGAGGAACTAGTCCTGGAAAATATTTTGATGGATGTGGAAATGCTCTAATGATCAAATAAATTTTTCCTCCAGTTCTTTCTTTTCAAGGATTTGGAGGAAGCTTTCATACTTGGGCTTCCATTTTCCTGCTTTCCATTTTCTTTTCTTTAAGCATAGTCCCTTTTCCAATATTGCAGCATAGACGTCATTGATTAATAGTTCCTTTGTCTTTGAATTTCTATTCCATTTTTTATTAAAATGTTATGGTGTCGAATTAAAGATCTCTAACTTAAAAATAAGCTTGCACATCATTAAATTGAAAAGACATTGAGCAGATATTCTGATTAACCCTGCGATAAACAATATACTTTTACTCTCTGAATAAATTTATCTTTTACCCAGTAATTGTTTAAATGAAATAGATAGACCGGTTTAAACAGTAATTTTTTCTCTATTGAAAGGTAAATTTTTCTCCTTTAAACAAAAAAAAAAAAAAAAAAAAAAAAAAAAAAAAAAAAAAAAACAAAAAAAAAAAAAAAAGAAAAAAAAAAGAGTTTAAAAAAAAAAAAAAAAAAAAAAAAAAAAAAAAAAAAAAGAGTTTCTTTTCACTGCAAGACAGAAATACTTTCCCGTCATTCAAACGACTTTTTTTTCTTGTCGTACTTGGAAAAATAACGCACTAATAAATACGAAAGGCAAGCAAGCAACAAGCACTTAATAACCTACTCCAATTGCAGGAGTTGTACTGTAGTAGACCAGAAGTAGTTTGTAAATTTGGTAGAACGGACGGGGTATTTTAGTCAAGTGACACGGAAATAATTCATAACCTTCCGTCTCTGTTTGAACGTGCGGATTGTGTTCTTCTTCTCTCGAACCGCACTTTGTCTTCCATTTTAGCTCCAATCTGTTTCTTACTTGTTTTTGGCGGGAAAAAGATGTCCGGTAAAGGCGCCAAGGGTTTGATTACTGGGACTTCAGCTGCTACCAGGAGCAAGGACAAGGACAAAGATAAGAAGAAGCCCATCTCTCGTTCTTCTCGCGCTGGCCTTCAGGTTTCATTCTGTCTTTCTTTTTTCCTGCTCTTTTTACATTTAGTCCAGCCCAGTACGTTCCTTCTTCTTCTTTCGTGTCTGGATTTCACCCAGTTAATATGGATGTTTAATTTAAGTTGAGGGTTTTAGATTTTGGTTTGGGATTTTGTTTGTTCTGTTTTTCTTTTCTTGAACTGGATTTCGTTTGCTTATTTAACTTCATCTAATGTATGAATTTAGATGCTCCTATGTCTCTTTTTGGCTCTTATTCTTTTTGGTTTTGTGGCCAAGTTAAAAAAAGAGATTATTTTTTGGTAATTGATTGATAACTTTCAACTCGTATTGTTTCTTTACTTTTGTTAAGGGGTCACACATGCAAATTAGCGAACAAAAGCTCGGAAAGCACATTTCTTTTGGTGGGATAAGGAAAATCTAAAAATTCAATGAAAATGAAACATTTATTCATTTGCTATTATCAATTCATTGTCTGAATTTCCGGAGTTTTGTAATTCTAGTACATTTTTTTACCTTCACTAGCCCTTTTTAGTAAGGTTTTCATCTATTCTAGACCTATGTTTGAAAAGGTGGTGTCATGAAACATTAGATGCATATCAGGCGAATTATGTTGAGTGCTATAAGTTTTTTCAGAATTCAGATAATCACTTTTCTTCAGGCAGCTCGGATATTTTGAGATCGTGAGCTTTCATTCCATCAACAATTATTTCATCACTATTAGTTATTTATTCAGTTAAAGGATGTTTACAATTGGGGAATCTTTTGTGGATTTGTGAGTGAATTGCTTGAGTAAAGGAACGGTGGTGCTTCTGCCAAACGCTGTTACTTGCTTCATCTAGGAAACGAACATGAATTAGGACTGGAAATTTTTGTTTCTCTGAAGGCAGAGAAAGCATATCTGTTGAATTTTCTATTTTTTGGTGTAACTTTCAGTTCCCAGTGGGTCGGATTCATCGGTTGCTGAAATCAAGAACCACAGCTCATGGGAGGGTAGGAGCAACAGCTGCAGTTTATTCTGCTGCTATTTTGGAGTATTTGACTGCAGAAGTGCTGGAATTGGCTGGAAATGCTAGCAAAGATCTCAAGGTTAAACGTATCACTCCTAGGCATTTGCAGCTTGCAATTCGCGGTGATGAAGAACTTGATACTCTGATTAAAGGTACCATTGCTGGTGGTGGAGTCATCCCTCACATCCACAAATCACTTATCAACAAATCATCCAAGGAGTAGACTCTCAAGGATTTTACCGTGTCAATTTGCCAAAGGGAAAACAGTTCCTACTTTCTGTTACTGTTGATCTGGTCAAAACCTACTGTTTAAATTGTTAGCTCTTACTTATTGTTTTTTCATTTCGGTTGGCCTTAGTAGGTTTCTCATACACTATGGATATTTGGATAATGACCTTATTTGGCAACCTTTTTCTTTTTATTCCCACTTTATGGTAGCAGTATTAGAAGCTCACTTTGGCAAGGCTGCTTATGGATGCCAAACTGATTGGTTTTGCTTCATGCATCTTTGCATCTGTATGTATCTCAGAATTCATAGAAGTCCTGTTTGGTATATCAAACCTTTCGTGAAATCCAGTTGGAATTTCCTACTTTTATATTTTAATGTTTAATTTGGTATGAAAGGTAATAGTGTTTTCACTCTTAATTTGCAGAATTTAACATAATTAAATCAAAATTTATCATTTAAAAATTAAAAAAAAAAATCTGTATTTATTGTTTTGGATCGGATTGGATATTAATTGGAACTGCACATGATTACTCTCTTTTTTTTTTTTTTTTTTGAATTACTCTCTTTTTTTTCTTTTTTTTTTTGTTGAGATCGAAGATCCCCCCCCTGCATTCTTTACCGTTTTTTTTTTTTTTTTTTTGTTGAGATCGAAGATCCCCCCCTGCATTCTTACCGTTTCATTACCAGAAACTTTTAATTTAAGCAATGATCAATCCATGACAAGCTATAGGGTTTAAAAACGATCAACATTTTGACATTGGATCGAAAGCTTTAACTATCAACAGATATTCTACTCTGATCTGCTGCTTTCTTCCCTTTTGATCTTTACCATTGCTTCATCATCTGCCTCGAAGAATCTAATTTGTCATGCATATATTGTGGTCTAATAAAACAAAAAGTGAAGCAATTTAAGCAGCAAATTTATGATGCTTACATTGAAAGCAGAAATGAAATGCCAGAACAAATCAGTTACAAATTTCAATTTCAGTCCTCCAAATAACCTGGCTCCAATTCTAGAATAATTAAAAAAATGCCTTTCACAAACCAATCAATTCACATGTCCTCAACAATCTACACCATAACCAACCATTTTAGGGATTAAATAGTTGCTACCCTAGGAACATCAACTGGAAACTGATGGATCTCATCCATCCAGGGACTCTTTTCCTTTGCAGGGTTTATTGTCCTCAAAGCCTTCCACACTGCACTGTTACACTTAAACCCTGAACCGAATGCTATTTGCCATGTTCTATCTCCTTTCCTAATCCTTCCCTTAGCTTCTGAATAAGCCAGTTCATACCAAAGGGAACTGCTTGAGGTATTCCCGAATCGGTAAAGTGTCATCCTTGATGGCTCCATGTGCCAATCAGAAAGCTGCAAGTTCTTCTCAATTTCATCCAAAACAGCTCTTCCCCCAGCATGAATGCAGAAATGCTCAAAAGCTAGTCTGAAATCAGGGATGTACGGCTTGATCTTCATCTTGAAAAGTTTCTTACCGACTAATGTGGCAAAGAATAGCAGCTGTTCCGACATTGGCAGAACAAGAGGCCCCAATGTAGTTATGTTAGTTTTCAGGGCGTCACCTGCAACTGCCATGAGATCCTTTGACAACGTAACACCAACCTTCCCATTGGAGTCTTCCTCTTGCATAACACAAGAAAAGCACTTATCATCTGCACCCTTGTGAGTACGGACAGTGTGTACTAACTGGTACTTTGACCTTCTTCTATCAGACCGTTTGTTCGAGAGCAATATTGCAGCCCCTCCCATTCTGAATAAACAGTTCGAAACAAGCTTTGATCTATCATTTCCAAAGTACCAATTCAAAGTGATGTTCTCCATGCTGATAACCAATGCATAGGAATTAGGATGGACCTGAAGAAGATCCTTAGCAAGAGCTATTGAGATCAGACCTGCACTGCAACCCATCCCGCCTAAATTGTAGCTAACAATATTCCCTCGAAGCTTGTAATGGTTGATAACCATAGCAGAAAGAGATGGAGTAGGATTAAACAAGCTGCAATTCACTATCAAGATTCCAATATCTTTGGGCTTAATGGAGGTCTTAGCCAAAAGCGCATCAACACATCCAAACATCACGGCCTCAGCTTCTTTTCGAGCTTCTTGCATTGATGGGTTAGGAGGAATATTGAGGACAGCCTCAGGAAGATAAGTCGAATCCCCTAAGCCAGATCTCTCAAGAATCCTCTGCTGAAAGTTGAGATTCTCCTCTGAAAATGTTCCTGTCATCCGAGACTGATCCATGAAAATCCTTTTCGTGCATTTGCGAGATTCTTCAGGCTTGTAGCAGGAAAAGTTAACAAGGTATACAGGCCGAGGACGACTCATAAAATATAGAGTAAATAGGAAAACAAGAAGCATTGAGCAGCAGACCACTGATATGAGATTATACTGTAGATGCTCCCAAAGGGAATAAAAATCTTGAAGAGAAAATGTAGAAATCTGAGCAGCAATTAAGACAACAAGGGGGGAAAGGAAAAGGTACATTCCATGGGTGATGACGTAATGGTAACCCAACTTAACATATTTTAGCTTTACAGATTTTTTGAAATCAGGAAGGTTTCGCGACGATGATGGTGAGATCAAGGGTGTAGTTGGCTTTGGCTCTGCCATCTCTCCTCTGTTAAAGAAGTTCAATTAATTTGGTGAGAACTGAGAACAATAATATGAGTATGTGAAAGAAGAAAAGCAATGCAATGAACAATGAGAAGTCAACGACTAAAGACCAAAAATCAAAAAGAACTTACAATCTAGCACAGTGGCAATCAGAAATTCAAATCCAAAATGAATTTTCAAACAAGTACAGTGACAAAATAGTTTCATCCGCATTTACCCAATCTTTTCTACTTTCTCGTAGAAAAAAAAAAAAAAAACAAAGTTTTATTAACTGAACTGTCTCTAAGACGAAACAAGCAAAACCCAAGTAGGTAAAGTCTAAAAAATGAACAATTTAATTTCATTTATATTTAAAGAAAATACTGTATTACTATAATTTCGACAAAAGTTCTTCCTTTTGTATTTAACCAAATATTTATCCCTCATCAAAGATCAAATTTAGCTGAACCCCAGATCAGAATTTCAAATCAAAGAACAACTTTCATGCAATTGGCAGAAAAGGGATTATAAATCGAAAACCAGATCAACCTTCCCATTCGATTAAACTAAATTAAGGAAAGATCGAGATCCAAAAAGGTTTCACAAAATCAAAAACAAATCAAACGAGATTAACGGCATTCGATAAACAAAGAAAAAGAAAAGGAAAAACTAACCTCGAGCGGTAAATCCCAGACGGATTGCTTGAATCTACCAGGAAAGGCCACAGAAGGAGAGAGAGGAAGAAGCTAGCTGTAAGCGGCAGCCAAACGAAATTATATAGACAATGTGCAGTATAGAAGGATTATTAGTACTATATTTAAATTAGAATCTTAATGGTCGAGTAATAAAACTAATTAAAATTAGAAGAAAAAAAAGATTCGAAGGCTAATAAGAAAAGAAGAGGGAGAAAAAGAAATAATAGAAGTGCGTGAACAGAAACGGGAATATAATTTGAGATATATATAGATGGTAGCAGAGAGAAGGTGAAGACAAGGCCCGCTGACCAGCTAGGAAGGTGCCGAATGGGACGCGTTTTTTAGGTTTCAACGGACTACGGAGAGAATATAAAGAGAGGGCAATAGGCGGCGCCAACTGGGTTTGAAATCTTTAACCTGCCGGCGTCAAGCCGTTTACGATTCTATATTCCTCCGGCTATTGACAAGGGTGATTAAGGAATTAAATATTATTCTTTTTATTTTAGCGGAATTATAAATCCCAAGTTCTTGTTTTTTTTTTTTTTCTTTTTTAGTATGGGATTTTAGATTATTAATTTTTTAAATTATGCAAATTATTTTTTCAGTTAAATAATAATAATAAAATAAGTATTTATTTCAATATGTTATAACTTGTTTTTATCATGCCATCTTAACCATTTTTTAGGAGTTGATATGAATTATTTTCGTATATTTTTTAAAATTTTTATTTTTTACATGCAAATATTAATTTAATATATAATTAGTATAATTTTTAAATTAATAATTCTTACATTTTCAACGCATATAATTTTATCAGTGAATGTGTTAAATAATATATTTTTATAAATTAAAAAGATTAAAAAATATAATTTTATAAATTAAAATAATTAAAATAAGAATTAATAACGCCGTTACACTTTTCTTATATAATTTATATGTCAATTTATGTATCTCCCATTTAATTATAGTAAAACACAAATGATATGGTTAGTAAGCATGTGATTTGTGTGTTTTCCTTTTTAACTTCACATGCTAGATAAATAGTGTTCTAGAAATCTTTACTTTCATTATAGTGTCTAATACAAAAGTCAATGGAAATAATGAAAATAAAATTTCATTAAAAAAGATAAAATACTTAAAAAGGACTTCATTTTTAATTATTTTAAAAATAAAATTTTAGTATATTTTTTTTTTTTTTCTAAAATACCATAAAATATTTATAGTTCTTATTGCCAAATTGAGTTTTGCTTTCATTTTTTTTTATTGTGAAGAGATTTTAGATGGAGAGAGTCTCATTCTCATATTCAAATATGGGATCTCCTATTGATTGGATAGTAGGGGATAGTAAATTTAAATTTTTCTTTTTGAGCAAACATTAATTACATTAAAATAATTTTACATATAAAGGATTTTAATAAATAAAATAAAGAGATGAATCGAGTAATTATACTAAATATATAAAGAAAATTTGCGAAAAAAGAGAAAATAATATATAAAAAATAAATAGATTTTAAATTGTAAAAGAAAATAATATTTGCAATAAATTATTTAAAATATATTTAGATAATAATGCATTAAATAATAAATTAATTATGTTAGAAAAATGTAACTTTTCAACCTCTCTCTAAGAAAGTTATTTTCTTTTTGTGTAAAAAAAGTAGGATGTCCCATTTCCTAAAAAAATAAATTAATAATATCAACCAAATAAAAAAAAAACTTTGTATTTGTATTTGTAGTATTTTAAAATTGGTAGAGCACTTGCAAACTAATCTAAAAGTCAATAAATTCATTTTCAATTATGCATTTTAATTATTTATAGAAAAATTTACCTATATTCAGTATATGTACTCACTTATACATTAAATCAATTATAAATAATACTTTAGTTTAATCTAACTTAATTCGAAGAAAAAAAATAATAATATAATAATATTAAAAAAAAAAAAAAAGTTGGCTTGGTATGATTGGGTAAGCAAAAAATTTCCTCAGTTGTTTAGTCTTCGGTTCTAGTATTTTCCTCTTCACCACTAACATCACGTGGACCAAAAAAACAAACAGGTCACATGGATGCCTCTCTGGCTGTCTTCATGATCTTATTCAGATGCTTATCTTCTTCTTTTTCATAATTGTTTTTCATATTTTGCATAACGTTCAGATTAAAATTTTGAATTTGACTGTTATAAATTTATTTTTAGATTTAAAATTATATTAAAACTAGTCGTATTTCTGTGCATTATGCGAGTTTAATACTGATTATTATTTTAAACTTGATTATGATTATTATGTTAAATGAAAATATTTTATTAAGAAGATGTTCTAAATTTTTTAAGTTAAATATATAATGAATTATGAATTATTGGAAAAAATAAAATAAAAAGTTTTATTATTTTAAAATAAAAATTTTATAAATTAAGAGGATTAATGTGAAAATTTTATTATATTGTTATTTTTTAAATTTATTGAAGCCGAAATAACACTGTGGGCTACAAAACAAGGATAGTCATTTCCTTAGCCTACAAAATTGATGAAAATAACTATAATTGAAAGTACTCAAATTCGAAAACTCTTACATCTCATATAAGTAAGAATACCAACTAGACCCACAACATGATTGGCATATAGTTATTAATTATTGAAAAAAAAAAAGCAAAATAGTTTCATCATTAATGCAATAACTAGTCGCAATATCGCGCGTTGGTATGACATTGTTTAAATAATATTATTAAATAAATATTGTTTTTTGAATTATTAATTATAGAGAAAAAAAGAAACCAAAGTTTTCTATTTAAGGCAATAAATTTATTATGTACTGCTTAATTATTGAAAGAAATAAAGAAAGGAAGAAAAAGAGTTTTATAATTTAATTTATTCGAATCAAAAAATTTAATAAAAATTAAAAAATTAAAAAATATCACATCACCAATTAAATTTCACAATATTGTATAAGAAAAATAAATTTATTTGAATTTTATATAAAAACGATATGTTAACAGTCAAACTTAGAATTTTTAGAAGAAGCCAAAAGCTTTAGCGTGAATTATAAAACCCTCCATCTACGTGTACGTACGTATGTTTGTCAAGATTTGGGAGCATGTTAATTTAATATATATAGAATTTCTAAAAACAATTCAACTCGAAATCAAGAAAAGAAATTCCGAAGGAAATTGAAATCAGTCGAAAACTAGCAATCCAGGTAAGGAATTGAAATCAGTGGAACAGTCCAGAGTCGTCACATCAGGGAAACCTACCATTTGGAGAACTTCTCTCGTCTCATTCATGTCAGCTTGTCGTAATTAAGACACGGGCTTTCAATTGCCAACTTGAACTTTTCTGAACAACTTACAACCACCTCTGACTTGGTCTTCTAGATGGCGATCATGGAGTCGGAGACTCATGTCTTGACTTGTTTATATAGTACGCGTCACTCAACCAAACATTCATATTGCAGATTACCAGCTCAACTAAACAGTCCTATTATAACGAAATTAAAATATTATTTATAATCAAATTGCATAATTACTTAAATTTTGATTTTTTTGGACATGAGTCGTAATAAAATATTAGTTATAATCAAATTAAATAATTATTTTAATTTAACTTAAATATATAAGTCTAGTGTTAAATCCAAACTCCAAAATTAGGGGAATAAAGAAAAATTGTTAAAAATTTTTTATATATTTAGTTAACTTGTATTAATTCAATTTACTTCAATTAGAACCAAAAAACTTATCCCTACATTTTTTTTGTGACCACGTAAGAAATTGTGATTTTGTTTTTTTGAAAGGAAAGGAACTGCCTTTTTTTCCTTTTTTTTTTTTTTTTTTTTTTTTTTTTTTTTTTGGTTTTTTGAGGGTTTTTTTTTTTTTTTTTTTTTTGGTTTTTTGAGGGAAAGGAATTGCTTTGTTGGAGAAGCCATTTCCACTCATTTTTTCTCTGTTTTATGTTTTCTGTTTTTATTTGGTTGGCCAAAAGGTGAAAACAACCCATCGATTGTCCTATTATCTAGAGTTCTTGAATAATGTGCCTTTTTAAGTAATCTAACTTATCAATGATTGAATTCTATTGAAGAGACAGATATGATATGAGATATCCAAAATCTAACTCAGAGACAACCTCTAATTTCTTTTTATTTTTAAGTTTTCAGTTCTAGTTTCCCAGAGCTCAAGTTTTAGAAGCAACAAACTCAGGACAATCAAAACAAAACGACATTGTGTGTCAGCGATATTGGACATTCATTATAATTACATGAATTTCTTTGCAGACTTCTGTCGTGTTTGTAGAAATGTCAAAAGCAGTATTACCTCGTAACCAGTTTATATTTGTACTAAATGACAGTTTTTACCTCGTCTACAATTTTCTTTGTTTACAATTTGGTGGAAGCACATCCTCTGTAACTTCTTTGAGGAAGAATGATCAACAATGGATGCGAACTTGCGATAACGACTTTATTCCAGTGAGAACTCTTCCAGCCATATTAGCACTTCATTCCTCTTCAATCCAAACAAACATAAAGAAATAAAGAGAATGTCTCAGTAGTTAATTAGATGACAACTACAAAATGCCATCGTTTTAGCAGTGGGAAATCATGCATTCTATTTTTCTCATTGTATTGCTGCAAATGTTTCTCATAGGAACTACCGCTCTTCTATCAAAGAATTTACCTTCAGACTGTCTGAATGTTTGAACACAGATTTAAATGAAAAGAGTAAAACTAGAATGAGCAGCAGAAACGAAATCAACTCTGAGACAGGTAAGGACTATATCATACCATTGTAAAGCTCCACGTTCGGCCTGGATCATTATAGCGGGCAAGCAAACAGCCTATCTTCGGTTTAAGACCATCTTTGACAAGACTTGAGCGCAGTTCTTTCTCTTTCTCGCGGACAATATCTTCAGTTGGTTTTCCACTGAACTTTAGTACTGCAGCAGTGCCTCCTTCCACTTTCCTCAAGCTAAGTTTCTCTTGATTAGGATCTGGTAAACTGGTCAAAACACATTATCATTCTTAACTGCTCATATTTCGGAGTGAGATTATTGAATTTTGTTCTCGAATAAATTTATTTCTAACATCAAATTTCCAAAAAATAAACCGAATTTTTGCATAAATGACTAGTTCAATCCCATTTCTATCAATTTAATCTTGAACTTGTAGAGCCCTAAAAAATTGATGAGCTTCACCTGTTTAATTCTTTTTCAAATGGAAGAACTATTTGGATGGAAACTTTTGATAGCTCAGAATCATTTGCCTGAGTGAAGACAGGTGTTGTCATCGGTATTTTTTCCATTGTAGAATTCTTTCCAAAGATATACCTGTAAAGATAGCATCAATCATCCACTTACATACTGAGGTAAGGCGAAAAAAATATTATTGAACTGGATTGCAACAGAATACTTGCCCAGCAACATCATTGAAACCAGATGACCCAGACAACTTGTCTCCTCTTGTTTCTACCACAATGAATGGGGCATACTCTCTTACCTGTCAAAACATAGAGTATATACAATCTGAGCTGTATGACTGTCTCACTCTTTGAAATGCATTATAGGTGTACATGCTTTGTGTCATGTTGAGGAAATAATCATCAATACTAATGAACAGAAGTTTGGCAACTCAAGTCAAGTTCACAGAAAAAGAAGCAACACAAGAAAAAAGATTTTGCTTTCATAACCTTCGCATAAATCCCACCCAAAAAAAAAAAAGAAAAAAAAAAAAAAAAACCTTTTTCAATAACCTTTTCGCATAAATGCCACCCAAAAAAAAAAAAGAAAAAAAAAAAAAAAAAACCTGAAATAATGTTTTTCCATCCATACGTACGTAACTAGAAAATATAGTAAAAAAAAAAAAAAAAAAAAAAAAAAAAAAAAAAACCTGAAAATAATGTTTTTCATCCATACGTACGTAACTAGAATATTAGTAAAACATAATGCCATAGACAGATAACTCAGAACTGTTGGATAAGGCAGACAAACCTCATAACTTGAAGTCCTTTTTAGTATCTGATATTTGGGTGTTTCCAAGTCAGGAGTCTTGTAAATTTTCAACTGCCAAAAAAAGAAAATTTTTCGTAACCTACACATAAGAATTGGAAAAAAATTAATTTCATTTGCAATGGTATTTCATGCAACTGAAAAAAACTGTACCTGCTTAAAAACATCCCATAAACCTTCAAGTGAAAAATACTCATTGTTCTTTATGGAATCCCAAAAGTCCTACAAATTCAATAGAATAAATCACATATATTTTCTCTCTCTCGGCCACATTCTTATCCACCTTCCTTTCCAATACAAAAAGGTAAAAGCTTTACCAAATGGCTACAAAATTTCCCATTCTCTGGGTTAATGCCCATGACAGAAGTTCCTGTAAAGACCAATTCCGGTTTCCATGGAAGCAGCATGAACTTCATCACCATAGTCCATCTAGTTGTTATCTCAAAAGGTCCTGTCTATAGCAATTACATCAATCAACAAAGCCAAACCCAAATGAAATATTTGCACTTCCCAAAATGGACAATCATAACATAAAACATGTAATAATTGGATTGTATTGGAACAATAAACAAAGAAATAGGCCTTCTATATATGAACAAGGAACATTCATTTTCAAAAAGAATAACTTATTCTAACCGAAGAAAGAAAACAAAGAAATCTGACTCTTCAACATTCTAGCATTACTAATTTTTAAAAGAAACCAAAAAACTTATCAAAACCAATATCAAAGTTACAATTTTTACAAACCTGTTTAACCCAGTGCAAGAAAAATTGAGGCCTGAATATAACCTTCAAAAGAGAAATGTTAAAGAGGTAACCACTTATACTATCATGTTTGGTGATAGGATCCCTAAACTTCACATGGTCATCGTATGCCGTTTGATCAATGCCCTGATCATCAAAAAGATGTGGAAGATCGTCATACAAGAGATCCACCAACTGCTCGACATTAACCGCAGTGGATTCTGCTTGCGGGCTCTGCTCCACCAGACTCAACCTGAGAGCCCACTTGGAGCTCCGACCGGTACTAACGGCTAAGTTTCTGGTCCGGAAGTTGTTGCTGAGTTGCCGGGAAGTAACGCAGGCAGGGGGGATTGGGCGGAGGATTTGGAGCGAAAGTTGAGTGGTGGCCATTTGTTGGGTATACGTGGCAGAAATTTGGGCTTTAGAGGGTGGGTGTCTTATATTAAGCCCAAAAAAAAAATGGTCTGTTAGGATTAGTTACTGCTTGGTTCATTGGTTGGCCATTGCAATAAACGAAGGAAAATACTTGCAGCTGCAGGTGCCTATCCTCTGAAATTATAGCCGTTGTATTATTTGCGGTTGCAGTGGCTATTGGCTCGTATTGCAGCTATCAGCTAGTTTATTAGCCCGTTAGATATTAGCGATTTAAGTAGATATGTTGGATAAAAATAATTATTTAATTGTCATAATAAATAGATAATGGTACCCTTAATTGTCATTAGATGCAACACGGATTCTTAAAGCTTAAAAGCTCAATATTTTATATCTTAGCACATATTTATTTGTATTTTTCATCTTTTGTAAATTTTTCTAAGTAGTATGGCTTAGGGTTTAAAAGTCATGCCTTCACCAATCAACACAAAACTATAATTATCCGACAACATTTTTGTCGGCAGGTTTAGATTGAAGAGACAAAATTTTTTCCTTTTTCTTAGGGTTTTTTTTTTTTTTTTTTTTTTTTTTTTTTTTTTTTGGTTTTTTTTTTTTTTTTTTTTTTTATTTTTTTTTTTTTGTGGTACTCTATTAATTAAGTTTTTTTTTTTTTTTTTTTTTTTTTTTTTTTTTTTGTGGTACTCTATTATAAGATAAGGTGTTTAGTTAAAGTATATAACTTGGACAATCTTCCTCCCAAACCCATTATATTTTATTAACAATGACTATCGGAGGAAGATCGAAAAAAAGGTCGGCAATACGACGTGGCGTATCCTATTCCAAAATATATTTAAAAAATTGGGTGGAGGGATTTTTTTTAATCCATCTAAATAAAAAAAACCCTAAAAAAATCTATGTAATTACTAATTCATTAATTAAAAATAGAACAATTAGTTTCCCTAAACAAAAAAATGAATTCTTGTAACTTGACCAGGAATTGAAATTTAATTCAATAATATTTCCAAATAAATTTTGGTTGAACAATAATGGAATTGATTTTAGGATTATGAAATTGTAAATTCATTTTTATATTGAAACTAAGAATTAAACTTGTCTAATCTTAACAACTCCGTTCATAGATCAAATCAATGAAAATAAAATATTTGAGAATTTTATTTTTATTTTTTTTATATAGTAATAAATATTCTTATTTTAACAAAAAAAAAAAAATCATCGTTGATTTGGTGCACGGGTGATCTGTAAATTGGATCAATGCAAGTCAATTCAATTCGTGAAACGAATTAATAGCAAACCTTTGAAAATGGGCGCTGGCTCCCCCTCTATATATTCTTCTCTCAACTCGAATGATACATAATTGGAAGTTTAATATAATCCCAAAAACTTCTAATACATATTTCAAATCTTTATAGGATAAAACTGAATTATTATTAATTAATAAGCTAAAATTATTAAGAAATTAATTACTAAATTACACAGATACTTTAAAATGTTCAACGTATATGGGTCGAACATTAACATTTCTCGAATACTCCTGAACACGTGTCGGACACTTTAAAAACATATCATAATATTTGATTTTATTTTATTAATTTTGAACACTTTAAGGACACAACACTCAATTTGAGGACACTTTAAAGATACTTTAAAGACAATTTTGAAAAATACTAACAATGCGTTTATTCAGATAGTAAGCAACCTCAATCTATATAAGGATAGGAACACAAGTTCGATCGTCTGAAAAACGCACTTTACTGAGGTGCCAAAAGTCTTTAGGTTCTATCGCTTGAGGGGATTAAACCTATTGTCTTAAATTTTACTTTTAGATCATTCATTAATAAAAATTTTAAAATTTTTATCTTAAAAATATATTTGTAGTTATTAATACTTAAAATATAAAATTAAAAGATACATAAAAGAATGAAAGACTCTATCCCATAATTTACAATTTGTAATTTATTATATATCTATTATTATTAAATTCAACAACTAATTCACAATGTTAATTTGAAGTAAGTAATTCACAAGGATTCAAGGATTCTAAGTGTCAGACAATACTGTATTGAACAAATTCAATTATGGAATGTTGTGGGGATTAATTTGATCTCTTTTGAAAATGCTTATAATTTTCAATAATGATATTAATTTCAAGAATTTAACTAATTATAAACTTTTCTTTTATATTTATTTTTATAAAGATTGTTTACTTAGTTGAATTATTAATAAATTATATTCCATCCGCTCCCATTTTATTTATTTATTATTCCTTTTTTTTTATATCCTAATATATTTGTAAGGTTTCTAAATTTGTATATTTAAATAATTATTTTTTTATAATAATATTTATGATTCTTCATTAATATCTTAATCCTTTAAAGGGTAAAAAATGATAAAAATAATTTTTATTGACTAAATTCTTAATATGAGTGTTTTGTTAAAGCATGCAAACAAAATAGAATGAAAGGAATACTTATTTAGTTTAAGGTGTCTTAAATATATCAATGCCTTTTTTTTTTTTAAATTACCGTATCACGTGTCTCACGTTTCGGTACCGTGTTTTGTGCCGTGTCCATATGTGTGTGTAACCTTGACTAAATATCTGGCTTTCAAAGTCCAAGCCCTAAAATAAGTTGTTTTCCCCACTTTTTCCTGCCTGCCAATGTGAATAAAGATCACAGGTAGCTTTCCATCGACAAAATCATCAAAATATATGTATTTATATACATATATGTTCTTTTTCTGAAAAGAATATATATTCATGTTCTTGATTTGCACACGTAGATGCCATGCAGGCATCGAGTTGGCATTCTATTTCACGTGTCCTCCGCGAGTTGCCACATCTTCCCACGGGCAATTTCATGTCCAGCGCTCACTTCACCTTTTTTCTCTTTATATAACCTTTCTCTTAGCATCCTCTAACTATCACTTAAAGCTTAGGTTTCCACTTAGTTAAAGACTTACTTTCAGGGAAAAAGAAAACAACAGACAGAATTCAAGTTTCAATGGCAATTTTAGCTAGAAAAAACAGTATGTCTGGCAGCGTTCCTGCTGGTCAGAATTTGCAAGATTTTGAAAATAATCTTTTTGAATATGTTAATTTTTTCATGGCACTGATACCCCAAGAAGACGGTGATAGCGATGGTGATGATGATGATGATGATGGCGGCTATGACTATGCCCCGGCAGCGTCTCTGGAAGCAGATGGGGATGATGATGATGGCGATGGAGATTACGACTATGCTCCGGCTGCTTGATCAATCAACGTTTTTCCAAAACCCTAGTTCTTGGAAAACCCTAAAGTATTAAATTAGCTCTAATGAATTCTGCAAGATGGTCTAGATAGTTATTTTAGTTACTAATATAGTTAGATCTAATCCTCTAGCTCTGGTTTTCGGCTATATATGGAAACCCTTTTTCTTGCAGTACGTAGCAGCGAGTCCCTTAGCTTCAGAATCTTCAACGATAAGGCGGCTTAATATTATGTTGTTAGTTTGTGTAATAAATTATTATAATTAATCATATACTACTTTATTATTAGAAGAATTAATTAAGTCAGTCCAAATCCATTGGTAATCATCATGACATAATAAGTTAATTAGTCAATTACCATCACCACATATTAAAAATTAATAATTTTGATTAAGCACGAGGACTTTGACTTCAAGTCAAAATACATAATTAACTAATTAAAAAGCTGAAAAAATACTTAAATTTAAGTCAGCAAAATCTCTGTTGTGAAGATGATGACGACATTATGAGGACATGATAATATAGAAATATAAGACACTAGTTAAAGCAACTTCCACCACTAAATGATCACTTTTAGTTCCATAGTTGATATATTAAACAATTCAAACTCTAAAAGCATCTGTACCATTATCGAAACTAATTGATGCTTCTAATTATCAATTTTTGAAGTAAACTTTGATTCAATAAACGAAAAAACGTTACGAGCTATACTATAAGGGTAACTCTATTCTTTATATATTCATTAAATTGGTAATAAAGATTATGGTTAAAAGGTCTTGAATATGAAACCTCATTTGCCACACACATAAAAAGACCAACCAGATCATACTTGATTAGCTATGTATTCTATTTTGATATGCTTCTAATTATCGATTTTTTTATATTGGTTTGGATGATTAATTCTTTCACTTCTTATCAAATTTGAAGTATTGAAACTTTATGCATTCAAATTTCAGTAGTTTGATCAATTATCAATTTTTGAAGTAAACTTTGATTCAATAAACGAAAAAACGTTACGAGCTATACTATAAGGGTAACTCTATTCTTTATATATTCATTAAATTGGTAATAAAGATTATGGTTAAAAGGTCTTGAATATGAAACCTCATTTGCCACACACATAAAAAGACCAACCAGATCATACTTGATTAGCTATGTATTCTATTTTGATATGCTTCTAATTATCGATTTTTTTATATTGGTTTGGATGATTAATTCTTTCACTTCTTATCAAATTTGAAGTATTGAAACTTTATGCATTCAAATTTCAGTAGTTTGATCAGATAAGCCATGATTTGATTTTCTATAATGGTTTCAGCTAAGAAGCTCTAAAGCAATATATAGCCAATTCATAATTAATTATTGATCAAATATTTTTTGTTTTTTTCTATAATGTAATTATTGATAATATTTTTGAATTTTGATAAAATATTTTGTATGCATATAACTAATTCTTTGATTACACTAACAATATATAGATTGCAATGACAAAAATTATGATACCTGCCAAAAAATATATTGCCTATACTCAAACACATTTCATTTTAAATGTTTAAAGTTTATCATTGATTACTCATATAATTATTTTTGTCTTAAACTCATACGGTATTATCTGGATATTGTTAAATTTGCCAAAACACATTTAAATAATACTTTTATTTAATTAGCAATTTACAAGAGTATTTTTTTTTCTACAATTTTAATTAATAATTTATATAATCATAAAATTAATAATCTTGTAAAATATTTAAATTCATATTTGTTTAAGAAATCTTTTGCAAGTTATCAGTTAATAAAATACTATAAAATAATTTAAGATTTTTTATATAAATTCCTTCTTGCATAATCAACTTTCTTTCTTTTACACGTGGATCTTTATGTTCGGTTCAATTCTTACAAAATCATTTTGCAGATTCGTTGGCTAAAAAGGGAGTTAAAACC